GTGTTAGCTAGCTATATCGCCCGATAGTAAATAACCCAATTCGAATTGCTAGCTAGGTATATCGGGTAGTATATTGAGTTAGCTAGCTAGATCGCCCGATAGTCGATATTTTTTTTCTCCTTGGGATGTAATCTAGTCGTTTGCATTATTTTTTTCTTCAACCTCTCTTGCTCAAATATAGCGAATAATATGTTATTCGTATCAGCTACTCAAGCTCTACACGATCCTGTATCTTGTTTTTTGATTTGTCATGGATATGGGTTTTTTTCGAGATTTTTTTCATACATGGGCTTAAATGAATTAAAAGCCCATATATTATTAAAAAAGAATGCCGTTGGCTATTTCTTTAATAACTTTTGAACAATAGGTCGTGGTTTTGGGCATCCCGAAAGGTGCGCACAGTTCGGCTGTACATACAATAACAAATTCTTATTTCATATTTATATTTATTACAAAATCCTAAGACTTTTAATTGCCATTATCGTTTATAGAGGATAGTCTGCAGAGATGGGAGAAGGTACAAAGTTTGTCTCGAGATCTTTTTAGTTATGAAAAAGTTATACTGATAGATGACTGAGTATGTCCTTTAGTCTTTTACTTCCTTTACTCCTTTTACTACTTTTAATTATAAAGCGAGAGTGAGAGTAATAGTTTTGATATGCGTGAAACAGAAAAGTAAAGGGTGTAAGAGACTAACGGCAGTAAAATACTTAAGCACCCGCCCGCCACCCGCCCCCGGGTTAAAAATGATGATGATTTTCGTCCGAAATATCGATTTTGGGAAAAGTACACGGTTAGATAGCCCGCAGTGTCTGCTTTCTAATGGCATAATTTTTGTGTCGATAGGATAGATGTTTCATAGGTTTTGAGCGAGTTTTCATGAAATACCGATGGTATACGTGTTATTGACAGTTGATGATCATTATTAATGAATCTCATCATCGTTTTACGGTAGGGAAAATAGATAAGTACGGGCAGAAATCAGGTTTTTTCGCTCCTGATCCAGAAAAAATACATTTTCTTAGTAATAAAGCAAAATAAATAAAAAAACGAAAGATACTTTTAAAGTTCGTTTACTAGCAGTTCTAACGAAATAAAAAACTTGGCTTCATCTTTTCATAAAAGAAATTAGACAGGTTTGCAAAACTGTTTATGAATTTTTACAGAGGAAATCCAAGACGTCCATACTGGAAAGACCTTTGAGTTCAATCTCGATCAAGCATCATTCTCATGCTCAGTTTTAATGCTTAATTTTTTTGAAATCGAAGGGTTTGTCGAAAATTGAGACCCTTCTCGTATTTTGAAGATTTTTCACTCAAAAAGCAATTCTTTAAAGCTAAAATGCAAATATTCTATATCAGTTCGTCGAGCTCTAGCCCTAGAGAAAGAATTGTTGACAATTTTTGTTAGTTTCTGATAGGATTCTTACAAGATTCTTATATAAGATGTTGCAATGATAAGGAATTGACTGATTCTGATAAGATTCTTATAAGAAACTTATAAGATATTCATCAGAAAGTAACAAGCCGTCTTATCACTTTCTTATGAATATCTTATAAGAACCTTATCAGTTTCTTACCAATTTCATATGAACTTCTTATAAAACTCTTATCTGATTCTGATAAGAAAACTGACGTGATTCTGCAGATCCAGCCCATACTCTTGTGTTTCCTTTCAATTTGCTACTCTCTTCAGCTGTTCTTACCGTGCTTGAAAACCATTTCAATCTCTTATACTTATTGAATAGGTGCATTTTGCCAGAGATCAATATGAAAAGGCGGAATTTATGCAAACGAGCGAGAGGTCGTGCCCTGCATTCTCTTGTCACATAATGTGTTTTTTCGAACTTCATTGTTTTCCAATAGTCACGATTGAAGAAGTACATGCGGTCTGCAGGCAGTGGACTATGAGGGCGAAGTCTTTAGACTGCGACTTAATTTAAACCTTTATTAAAAAGAAAGTATAAACCTGAGCACAAAGGGTTAAAAACCCACTTTAGCACTACTATACACAGAAATACTCACATGTAAACATTCTAATAAGAATGTAATTCTAGGTGTGCCTTACATCTATAAAAATACAGAAAGTATTGTTGTATATGACCATAAAAAACAATAATAAAAGAGATCAATAAATCGAAAGATAACAATCGACTAAATAAGAATAAAGCAAGCAATATTTAATATTCTTATCTTTCTGATTTACCGTTTTTATTATTGTTTTTTACAGTCATTCAATGGTACAATGGCGATACATCATAACAGTAGACACGAGTGTGCAATAAATTAATATTTTTAAATTTCTGGTGGATCCGATTTTATTGGCAAAACATTCTTTGAACATCAAAATAGTAGAATCTGAATGCAACTCACTCACATATGGCTGTATGAACATTGAAATTGATGACATTGAAAAATTAAATAGTGTATGAACTTTGAATTACCCGTAGAAAAATTTGTTCATAAAAATGATAAAACATGAAAATTCAATATTTTATAACGCATGTCGTTCAAACAATATTGACTATATTGCAAAGTATGCTGGTTCAATGACAATAGATGAAATAAATTGTATTGAACCAAACGGTAGCACAGCATTGCACACAGCGTGTCATTTTGGTCATATGAAAATTGTGCAAATTCTGTTAGAAAATGGTGCATCAAGATCAATACGTAATCGCTTAACAAATTTAACAGCTTATGAAGAGACTGATAATGAGTACATTCGAAGTTTATTTCGATTGATTGTTAATATTGTTCCTAACAATGATGAGCACAACAACAACGAAACAGAACCATCTTATGATTATGCCGGTACAGTTCAATGGGTATTAACAGAAACAAAAGAACAATTTTTAAATATGAACCATCAATATTTGCTTAAACAATATTTTGATGTTGGTTTTAAACAAATGGTTCAATTTTTAATTCAGTTTTATTTAAATATACATGCATTAAACCATGGCCTTACTAATAAACTATTGATTGAAAATTTGTTTAGACAATCTCTCGAGGAATTAAGAGCGGTCTATTTGATTATATGCTGTTCCACTACTACTGAGACGAAAAGGGATGTGTTGATAGTAAGGCATCTGTTTTCTTTTGTATGAAGAGAGATTATCATCTTGTATTTGAATAATTAGATAAAGCCTACACAAGTCCAAATTCTAACTTTTCCATAATTGTCAACAGACATTTAGCTAAAGTTAAGCTAAACAGTAACAAGCGTAGTACATTAAAAACTTGTGTAATCTATTTATCGTCAATATTTCTTCATAACAGACAACTTCAGTCATTTGCCTACATCGGATGTACTTACAGAGGTATGATAATGTCAAAACGATATCTACGCGCATATAAAAAAGGTATTAAAGTACAAAATAAATCTTTTCTATCAACAACAAAAGCATTAACAGTAGCACAATTGTATGCTGGTGAAGGAAACGACAAACATTTACGTCGTACATCAAATTTGATGAATAAACTTTTGCAAGTGTCTGTTATTTGTAAATA